TGTGAATTCTAATGATCATAACATTACATATCCAATATCCTTCCCCACTTTTTGTCAATGCAAGTGTATGCCTTGGATGAAATTATGCAACAGGTTTAGATAAAATATCTGTAATATATATTTATTGAAAATTAAACATATGCCAGGTGTCATAGCTTAGCATTTTCATGTATATTCTAGGTAGTTCCACACAACACATTAATCAATACCCTAACTTTACACATTAGCCACTGAATTGGGTATAATAGGTCCTTGAGGGTTGCCTCTGGAAAGATTTCTTCCAGCTGATATTAATTCACTCACTAGTTTTTCAACTAGTTACTAACAAATAAACTTACTTGTACTAGAATCTAACTCACAAATCTGTTATATAACAGTCTCATAAACTCCTTTTTATTTGTCTTTTATTTTCTTGATTACTTTAATGACATATAACCATTGAGAAATTATGGAAAATATAGAAAATTATAAAGAAAAAAATAATAATCACCTTGAATCTTACCATCCAGAAATAACCACTGTTAACTTTAAAATATTTATGCCATTTTTTTACATTTATATATAATCTCATGGGTCTTCTTACCAATTCTTCCCTAGTTACAAGTGCCCAATTCTTTCAGAAGGCAGCATTTTGGGCTGCCTTTCAAAAAGACCTTATATAAGTGAGAATATTATTAGTTAATAAGAGTGATTATTTGTCCTTTTAATATATGTTACTGGATCCCTCCAGCTTTTTAAAAAAATAGTAAATTTGCAATGAGGAATAATATATCTTTTATATTATTCATATGTAATGATGGCTTGTGAAATTGAGCGATATAGAATAATTGGTAATGTGTGTGAATCTGTATACAATTTTATTTTTAAAATATATGTCTTTGTTTATTAACGACGTTTGGCAATACCATCCCTAAATAACGTTCTAAAGACTAGGACCTCAGGGTCTCACCATCCTTCTAACCACTGCTCTTTCCATTATACGCTGTCTCTCTTGATCTATAAGAATTGGGACTTTAGGGTTTTTCTTGAGAAATAAGAATTTGATTCAAGAAACCATAATAGGACTTAAAGGAGAGAAATAACAGGTCCAAAGGGGCATGTTAGAGTTTGGCAACACTGGGAAAATGAGAAGAGAGCTAGTGATGGTAGAATCTTATGGTTCAGCAAGGTAGGCCTTTAATCTCAGGTAAGAGGTTAATAGTGCATGGAAAAAGAAGAGAAACGTAAGTTTTGTTATTGTAAGAAGAATCATCATGGTTTTTGATGGATGCATTGGATATGCAAATAAAGACTAATAATTCAGCACCCGTGTTGGATATCACTCTCTATGACTACATTAAAATTTTGATCTTAAAGAAGCTTGGCATTTATATTTTAGGACCGTATTATAGGCACCTATTTGATTGGCTGGATCAGCCCATGGGTGCTGTCTTTGTGAGGAAGGCACTGTGAGGACTCAGGTGGGAGTATCTGGTTTGAATCTGGGTTCTGTGACTTACAGAGGCAGGTTGCCTGACCTCTCTGAGTCTCAGTTTATTCATCCGTAAAATGGGGATGAGCGAGTGGCAGTGAGGATCAGCTGAAAGAATAGACCCAAAGTCCCTAACCTAGTAATTGACATGGAGAAGGTTCAGCAAAAGCTGGAACCTCTGTCCCATCACTCCTTTGTCATCTCTCCTCTGGGGCTGCCGCTGTCAGGAAGCTGACATCAAGGTGTGGGTGTGCTGTAACTCAGGGAGTTCCAGATCCTTTATTATTTCCTTAGAAGAGAAAGTGTGGGCTCATGGTGTCATCTAATTATAATTTATTTATCCCTTTTTACACTCAGGATTCGTTTCTATTGTGGTTGCTGTTTTATTTATACAGTACAGTTGCTAGAAATGAAAAGCAAGGAATCATGATTTGAAATTCAAATAATGACTTTCACAAGGGTTCTGCCAAAGACCTCCACTGTTGTGGATGTGCAGCCTAGGAGATGCGCTTTCTTAGAGTAGAAATCCTGTAAGAATCCTGAACGGAAATATGAGAATCATAGTTTGACGTATCCCTGTTTGCTTTCCATGAGAAGGAAAAGGCTATCTGTGGTCGCAACAGAGGTATCAGACCTCAGAATGGGGATTTTCCTGAGGACATCTAATACGCCACTTACTCGCTGTGTGATCCAAAGTAAGTACCAGACAGGGTGCTGAGAGAACTGAAGAGGGAATGTGTAAATCACTTTCTGCAGCTTCAGGCACACACTAGAGCCTCAATAAATGCCTGTCTCTTTCTTTTCTCCCACTCTCTGAGACAAGAGTTCCTTTTCACTAACATTTAAACTTGTGGAACTGAGCTGTGTGCTGCTGGCTCATTAGAGTTCGATAGCCTTTCCTGGCCTTTGTGAACTGCTAACAGCAGATGCAGTATTGCTGCCTCTCAATGACTAACCTTATCTAGGTAGACTAAAAATTTATGAATATAAGTAGATTTTAAGAATTAGGAAAAAACTACATGTGGTAAATACTAAATGTCTTTCCCCTGATACTTTAGTGTTTTGTGTGTGGGAGGTCATTTGGGAGACGTAGTTCTTCTTTTAAAAATATTTAAAGGAAAATAGAAGCAATCAAGCAAAATTCTTCTTTCTTAAAGTTATTATACTTAGAATGAAAATACGGGAGTAGATGAGAGGAGATCTGGTAACAAGGCCAACAATTCCTGTGTCATTGAATTTTACTCCTCTTGCAAATGGCCTGTGTAATTTTGCTTTGCCCTATCTTTCTTATAGCAATAGTAATAAAAATAATAACAACAATTTTTACATTTTCCCAGCATTCCTAAGTTGACCCTGTTATGGAAGTATGATGTTTCAAAATTAAAGACAAGATTTTCATTAAAAACATGAAATAAACTTGTGCCATATATTTTAATTCAACTCATCTATATATAAAAGCCAAGCGACCGAAACGACCAGAACAACCGGAATGACCGGTCACTATGATGCGCACTGCAGCCGACCAACCACTGCAATTGGGGGGCGGGACTGGCCGGCCAACCTCCTGCGGCCCCTCCACTGAGCCAGCCCGCCCTCATAGGCCCCAATTGGGGTGGGCCAGCTGGACCCCACCCATGCACGAATTCATGCACTGGGTCTTATTAATTCATAAGGTCTTAAAACTGATTCAAAGTGTAGTCGAGGATCTGGGTGTTTGTGACTATTTAATAAAGGGATTTTAGAGTAAGATTGCTGATTTAGATCCAAAACTGGTTAATGTCCCACAGGATCATAAGCTATAAACTTTTGAGGTTCAACTTTCCATTGAGCAGAAACTATTTTCATCTCTTACAGACAAAAATCTTCAGGTTAACCCCCATCTCTGTGGAGCTGTAAGTAGTCAGTCGATAGGAAGCCAATCAGAAGTGCAAGTCCAGCACTGCACTAAAAGGGGACGCCCAGGAATCTCTTTTGTCTCTTCCTAAGTTTTGGTGACTTTTCTCTGTCTTTGCATTGAAAGGAATCATTAGACTTATTCATTTGTACAAGGTTATATTTTTGATTTTAGGAAGCAAATTAGCATAATGTGATATAAAACCTAGCCATAGAAAGTGCTGTGTGTGAGTATATGTTTTAATGCCCAAATGTTTAAGTTTCATAGAAACGTATTTGGTAATGCCATTGGGTGTGGGTATGTTGAGAAGGCAGTGTTTGTGGGGCTTGTATATTCTTGAATAAGTTGTGTTTTAGAAATTAGATATGGAAATATTGAATAATGTACCCAGTCGTGGCTCTCAGGGTCCTCTTCTTATTTTCTGAAGTAACTTTCTCCCCATTTTGGTTGCCTCTTTGGGTTTGTTTCCGTGTAGTGTATAGATCTGCTATGATTCCCAGTCTTTGTGGAGTTGCCTTATGTAGTAGTTTCTTGTGGGGTCCAGTGGTGCAGTCTCCTTGATCACCTGAGCTGGGTACTCCAGGAATGTTTCCTGTTTGGCCCTCATGCTGTAATTGAGACTTGCTTGCTGTTGGTCCATTCATGTGTGGGATTGACCCTCAGGCTGGCTGACTGTGAGGATCAACCCCAGCCATAGCTTGTAATCTGCTGTGTGGGTGCCGACGATCCGAGTGGAGCTTACCTCAGCAGGTTTTGGTGCCATATCTCCCTCTGGATATGCCACTGGCAAAGCTTATTGGGCCCTGATCTGATGCAGTCTGATGCTGGCCACGGGCTGCATTGGTTCTGGGTCTCTTGGGAGGAACTCTGGTGCAGGGCAATGGAAGACGCTGCCTGTGGCTGGCCCTTGGCAACCTGTTTGGAGCTACAAGTGATCCACAGTTTGTGGCTGCCTCTGCTGGCCCTGGGTGCATGTGGGAAGGACCACGCTGTGCACCAAGGCCCGCTTTTACCAGCACTGGGCCAGGGGGCAGGTCAGCAGCAAAAGTCCCATGATTATGTGCTGCGGCCTTGTTTTATTTGTCTTTGTATTTCTGGATACCCAGTGCTTAGCATGGGGCCTTGTGTAGCCCAGTGCCCCTTCGAGTATTTAGTCAGTTGAAAGAAATATCATTGGAAGATGGTGGAGGCAAGCTTACCATATGCCTAGCTCCAGTAATTCTAATACCGTCCCTATGGAGTAGGTGAATACTGTAGTCAAATAACTTTGGTTCACCGCTTAACAAAAATTTGAGCACCTATTATGTCAGGTATTGTGCCAGATGCTTTGGACAAAAGGACAAGGAATAGCTTTTGCCTTTAAGTCTTGTGTCCTATTGGGGGAAACAGATACAGTATGTAAATAAACAAATTCAACCTAGCATGACACCTGCTCAAGGTCACACAGCCTGTGAGTGATGGACCTGTAATTGATATCCAAGTGTGTTCAGCTCCGAAGCCACCAAGCCAAGATGCTTCCAGAACCGAAAAACTAGCTAGGCTGCGAGTGAATGCTCAGAGGAGCAAAACAACAGCTTTGCTCTATTATTTGAAACCATTATTAAATCAAACCATTTTGTTGTATTTGCAAATTAGGTCCTTCAGAAGCTTGGAAAAGCTGATGAGACAAAAGACGAACAATTTGAAGAATATGTACAGAACTTCAAACGGCAAGAGGTAAGTGCATTTATCTAGTTTATGGGGTGGAAATGGGTGGACAGTGTTTGTGGTTTAGCCTGTAGCTAAAATGCTTTAAGACTGAAGAAAGAACTTCACTGGGTTTGGTGTTAACCTGAGGGTAAAGCTTGTCGGTTCTGTAAGACTTTCCTGTGGAGGATGAAGGAAGAGGCAGTAGACACTGCAGAGAGATTTGTGTTTCTTCTCAGGAGAATAAGACTTCGCTTCTCTGGAGCTTTTTAATATAGTTTATTGATTTATAGGAAAGATAATGTTTTTGGTGATTTATATTCCACTAACTATTAGCAGTAGTTAGATACTTTTGGCAAAATTACTTTAATTGCTGCCTGCTTCAAGATCATGCATTCTCAGTGGGGAGTATATCTCCCCCACGAGGGTGAAAATTGGTTCTTGGTGGATGAAAAAATTGTACTGGTTTTATGTGTATATATTACATAACCAGATTTAGAGTGTATCTGTGGTATTAAAA